TTGTAAATGAATCTGGATTCTTGTCATCAGGTGGTCCGCGATAAACGGACTGGAAAAACAAAAGGCTACGGCTTCGTCAGCTTCAAAGACCCGAATGACTACGTGAGAGCCATGAGAGAAATGAACGGTCAGCGTTCCCTGATGCTTCACTGGGAGTCGTCGTCTGGTCTGGATTGAAATGTGATTAAACATCATCCGTTTCTCTCTGTCTGTCCAGGAAAGTATGTTGGGAGTCGTCCTATCAAGCTAAGGAAAAGTATGTGGAAAGATCGCAACATTGAGGTGGTCCGCAAGAAACAGAAAGAGAAGAAGAAGCTTGGCCTCAGATAGTGTTTGATGCTCCTGGAGGGGGTGTGTGTGTGTTTGTTCTTGGCAGATTTTCTGTCAAATGCCTGACCTGTTGTACACTCATACTTAATGCATCCCAATGTCCCCTCAGAGCTCCTGGTGTCTACAGGTTAGGGTGAGTGGAAACCTATTAGATTGTTCTCATAAGAACAGCAACACATGCAGGTGTGTGTCTTTGAAGAGAGGAGACCCTCTGATTCTTTGTGGCAATACTATAGGATGTGATGGTTGTTTAAGATGTCAAATAAAACTTGTTTCAAAGCTAAAAATGTCTTCACTGTTCATACACCACCAGCAGGTTCCAGGTTCAGCTAAATTAGTTTCATAACCAAGAGCAGTGAGCCACTGCACACACATTCATTGAAATTTTCTTTCAGTATATTTGGGTGTTTTGTTGCATACATAAAGTGATTCAAAATGCATAAACTTGCATGCATAAACTGCCATTATGAGGAAAAATGTGCAACATTAGAGTCCACATAAGTGTATTATAAAAAAATGGAAAACTTCTTCAAGTGTTTTTTTTTTTTTGGTTAAAAAAATGCATACAAAAGCTCATTGTATGCAAAAGCACACTATCTGCATTACTTTAATTGCAGCAGTCTGGCTTTAAAACAGTTAATTTGTAAATGTGCCAATTCAAAAGAACTCAGCTTGCTTAGGACAAACTTAAGTCTGTTAGTACAAATAGTTCTTCAATCCAGTTCAGTCCTAGTATTTAATACAGTCAGATTCTGATCCAGTTTACAGAACAGTTCTGCATTTTGCAGCACTAGAACTCTAAATAAGCATTAATTGGAATAATACAGCTGTGTTGATTCAATTTTGATTAACATTTTGGAGTGCCCTAGTCTGCATCTACTGCTATGTCCCATCAAGGCTCAAGAGGGCGCTACAGACCATGGGAAGGAACAACTGAAGCCCAGGGGTTTGGAGGGGTTCCTTCCCTTAGTTTTTGTTTTTATCTTCGTTGAAAATTCAGGAAAAAACCTTATGATAAAGTACGCAACAGTGACATAAGTGCATATTTGATGTGCTAAAACTGAGCAAAAAGTATAATAGATAAAAGAAAAGTCAAACTGAGTGTAAGGAGAGCAAAACAAAGTGTTACAAATGTAAGATGAATTCCGATTGTTATACAATAAAAAGTTGGCTAGACGGATTAAATTACCACCGATTAGGAATGTGTGGTATGGCATGAAATTTATATCACAATATATGTTGTGATGGGTGGCGATAACGACAATATGATTTGTATAAAATATATAATAGAAAGGAAATTGGATCATCATTAAATTTGCTTTGCGTTGTCCCCACATGATGACAATGATACATTATTGTCATCATGTGGGGACAACGCAAAGCAAAGTTAATCTTGGTTTTCCCCAACAGGTATGATGTTGCTGTTTCTGCTGCTGTCAGAGCTGGAGGGCTGAGTTGATCTGAGACTGTAGTTTTTAAACTCGAACAGAGAAGGTCGCTGGTTAAGAAGTACATTCACTGGCCACTTTACTAGGTACACCTGCCCAACTGCTCATTAATGCAAATGTTGAATCAACTAATCACATGGCAGCAACTCAATTCATTTAAGCATGCAGACATGGCCAAGACAATCTGCTGCATTTCAACCTGAGATCAGAACGGGGAAGAAAGATGATTTAAGTGACTTTGAACGTGGCATGGTTGTTGGTGCCAGACAGGTTGGTCTGAGTATTTCAGAAACTGCTGATCTTCTGGGATTTTCACACACAATCATTTCTAGGGTTTACAGAGATTGGTCAGAAAAAGAGAAAATATCCACTGAGTATCAGTTCTGTGGGCACAAATGTCTTGTTGATGCCAGAGGTCAGAGGAGAATGGCCAGACTGGTTTGAGCTGATAGAACAGCAACAGTAACTCAAATAACCACTGAACGCACAACATGTTGACCCTTGAGGCGGATGAGCTACAGCAGCAGAAAACACCAGCAGGTGCCACTACTGTCAGCTAAAAACAGGAAATTTCTGACTGAGCGAAAAGTCAGGAATTTTTTATAATTTGTCCAAATTTGATGCTTTCAGAGAGGGCATAGTTACTCTTTAAAGACATAAAACTACAATTCCCTTAAAACAGGTGGGCAAAATATTAGAAGGGTTCTTAGAAAATTTAATAAACTCCATTAATGCATTTCAAGATGAGATGAGAATCTGATCTGTTGCTCATGTTGCATCAAGCTCCATCTCCCAACAACTCTGCTACAGCTGTTCGTCCACTGAAGATGACATCATTCACAGACACGCCATCATATGCTGAGCCAATCAGAGATAGCAATAGGTTATTGTTCTTTATAAAGGCTCGCATGGTATCTGAAAAAAAGACAAAAAAAAAAAACAGACTTAGTAGTTTTTCCACAACTCCATATCATTTTTAATGTAAAACACAAATCAACACTCACCTACTCTCTGAAAGTGTCCGAGGTGATACTGAGGTATACAATCCTGAGAAGATAAACAGCAATGAAACCATCAGCAGACAGTGCTAACTGGATCTAAGCTACAGTGAGTGAAGCTGCTGTACCCTGTGAAGAGCCACATTACTCCAGCTGGGGGCCACACAGTGTCCCAAGTGGCGGCGCACTGCCTCGGTGGCCCTCGCTAAGAGGCTGTCTGCTGAGACGGCCTGGGGGGCCCCAAACACATTCTGGAACCAGGCACCTCCCATCATGACCTAGGAGACATGGTGAGAAGGTCAGAGTTCAACACGCCAACACTGCATTCTGTTACAGTCAAGGTTTAAAAGGTTTCATATGTGATACATACAGAGTCCTCCATAAGTATTTACACCCCTGGAACTTTCATGGCACTTTACAACCACAAACAGATTTAATAAGGAAATCCTTTGGCAAAACGAGAGAATCCTGGATTAAAATCCCTTAGAGGCTCCTTCAGCCAGAGGCCACATCCAGGTGGAAACCAGGGTGTGTATGCATCTATTTCACACTGAACACACACGCATATTAAACCTATTGCACCCAAGAGGGGGGGGGGGGGAAAATGAATTTCCACCTGACAAAAACATACAAAAAAAAATAAATAATAGCCTCACA